CTTCCTTCCTGCCTTCCTGCCTTCCTGCCTTCCTGCCTTCCTGCCTTCCTGCCTTCCTTCCTGCCTTCCTGCCTTCCTTCCTGCCTTCCTGCCTTCCTGCCTGCCTGCCTTCCTTCCTTCCTGCCTTCCTTCCTGCCTGCCTTCCTGCCTTCCTGCCTTCCTGCCTTCCTTCCTTCCTGCCTTCCTTCCTGCCTGCCTGCCTTCCTGCCTGCCTTCCTGCCTTCCTGCCTGCCTTCCTGCCTTCCTGCCTTCCTGCCTTCCTGCCTTCCTGCCTGCCTTCCTGCCTGCCTTCCTGCCTGCCTTCCTGCCTGCCTGCCTGCCTGCCTGCCTGCCTGCCTGCCTGCCTGCCTGCCTTTCCTACTCCCCTACCTCCCTCCCTCCTTTTTCTTCTTTTCCAGGCTGATTACAGTAGTGTTAGAGAACAGTGAAAATTTTGAATATCCTTTGAATGCCCTTGAAAACCTTGAAACAAACTTGAAAAAACCCTTGAAAACAAACTGGTCATTTTTCTGGGATCCAGGATATTGCTGAATTATGGTTGAGGTCTTTTTTATATTGAATTTTTTCTTACTGTACACTATAGATCCAAAAAGACCTCCAAACTTGTAACAAGAGATTGCAATGGTACTATCACAATACTTTCTATTCTGAAAGTTCCCACTCTTTGTTCCAAGTGCCTTTCAACTTTCTTCTCATTTTGTTGCTATGTTACCTCTGAAATCACTCTTTCACAAACCCAGCAAAAGGTCTTAAAATTCAGAATGAGCATTTAGAACAAGTTATCAGAACTGATATTATATTGCTTCCATGTTCTTTTCTCTCAGCCAGCTTTTTCCCCACCCTTTGTCTGCACTCTTGATTTAAATATTAAACCCTTGGGTCAGTTAATGGTCCATACCATTTATACTGTAAGATACAGCATGAAACTCCTGTTACAGGAGTGACTCTCTTTCCATTAGCACTATGAAAAAATTATGATAAAGAATATTGGAAGAGATGAATATCTCCCCAGAGTGTACACAGAATGAGCCAAAGAGCAGTTCTCCACATCTCTCATTTCTTTCTTTGAGACCCAGACATAGTCATGAAATTGCTAAGCAAGGCTAGCAAAATGCTAATAACTGCAATTAGCAGTGTAATTCTCAAACCTGAGTGGAATCTCCAGTGATCACGGTTCAAACTCCCAAGGTGTAAAGAAATAGCAGAGTGCTGTCACCAGTAATATCATTAAGCCTCTCATATATGGAAATTTGGATTCTGCTTCCATGAAACATCCCTGAACAAAGAATGTACAAAATGTAGCCACTTCATTTATTTTGTTTTCACAGTGGTGGAAATGCAACAGAATATGTAGGTTTATTTTGCATGCCTTTCTTCTTTGGTTTTGCTGGCCCCTACTAATTATCACACAATTAGTTGTTTCTTTTCTGTCATTATGCTTTTAAAAGTATTCTCCAGACTTTTCCTTTACTGTCTCTCCAGTATTACCTCAGTTCACTTTCAAAAATTGGATTGTAGTAATGGTAAAAATGAACAAGTAGAGAATGAAATTGATGTTAAATATTAAACCTGTCTACTTAAATAGGGTTCTGAGGGATAGATATAGTGGCATGTCCTTCTTGTGCAGATTCTTTATCTAAATGCCAGTTTTGTTGAATAGCTTTGACTTCAAAAGTCACAGCTAATATTCTTGCACTAAACTCACTCTCTTAGCAGAATAAAGAATAAAATAAATATAAAATAAATTTTCTCTTTTTTTTACAGTTGTAAAAGAATATGTAATAACACAGATTACACTGATGCATTTCAAAGTACTGTCAAGTAAGCAGAAGCTGTTGATTTTTTTTCATTCTTTCAACCATTTTATAGTAGTTCATGGAATCACAAAATGGATGAGGGCAGTAAGCATCTCTGGAGAGTCTAGTTCAGTGCCCTTCTCAAAGCAGTATCAACTATAGTAGGTAACTTGGGACAACATACAGTCAGATTTTGAGTATCTCAAAGGATGATAACCTCACAATCTCCTGAGCAACCTACTCCAGTGTTCAAACGACATCACAGTTGAAATTATTTTCTTATGTTTAGACAGAATTTCATTTATTTCAGTTTGCAATTGTCTCTTGTCTTGCCAGCTGGCAGTATTGCAAAGAGTTTAACTTCATCTTCTTCAGATGCTCCTGATATATATTTGTACATATTGATTAGATTCTCCTGATATATATTTGTACATATTGATTAGATTCCCCCAAGTCCTTTTACTCCATGCTGGAGAGTGCCAGCCACTGTCACCCACTCCTCATGTAAGACAAGCTCAGTTCTGTTATCTTTATCTCCTGTTACAGGAGTGACTGTCATTCCATTAGCACCATTAAAAAAATATGATAAAGATTAGAGCTGAAGTTGCTCTAGTGTGTCCATGTAATAATTTGTTTTGGAGAGGGCAGAGCTGTGCACAGCCCCCTGTCTGTCTCACCAGGTGTGAGCAGAGGGAAAGGGCCAGATGCTTTGATGTTTAAACAACAGTTCTGCTAATGCAGACCCTCTTTGCTGCAATGGTAACATGCTGCAGTATTGTCAGCTCATCTCCCAGGAACTCCAGGTTCTTCTCTGCAGATCTGGTTTCCATCCAGTCAACCCCCATGACACACTTATACTGGAAGTATACAGTATACCCCCCTCAGATACAGGGGTTTGCATTTCCCTTTACTGAATTGCTTGAAGTTCCTGTTGACGCAGTACTCCAGACAGTTAATGCTCTCTAAATAGCAGTAGATCCATCTGATCTATCAACCATTCCTTCCTGTTTTGTGTCATCTTGAAATTAGTGAAGGTGAACTCTTGTTAACTTCTGTATGTGGAGGCAAAACACCCCTAAGCCTGACAGAGGTGATCCTTGAAAATCAATCATCTTTTCCTCAAAAAAGTAAGGGAAAAAGGGGCAGTACACACAAGTGAGTCTGCTAAAAGTAATCTTTAGAAGATGACAAGAAAAGTAATTCCTAAATAACACATTTTTTTTTTTTCACTTTTACTCTTCACAGTGATCTAAATTTCATTTATGAGCTCTCCTGATCTAGAGCTCTGCCCTGTATTCTGAGTCAAAAATTGCTGGCAAGCAGTGGATGTTATCAGTGTTCAACCTTTCCTTTTTTGAAAA